CACGTTGGGACACAGAAAACCCATCCTAGTCTGTGCCCTACAGACCATTGAACTACAGTCCTGGGAGAGAGCAAGCCTGGGAGAGTCCTGGGAAGCCCTGGGAGACAATGCACCTTACAGTCTAGTTTGTGCATGTAGGTGGGGGGATTGACAATAACAAGGGGGGAGGCCATGAGAAAACTAGGAACTGGAGAGACATACAACAGCATAGATAGACCCTAAAAATGGGCAAGTGGAAAAGGAAAAACAAACAAACAAAAACAGGCATTATGCTAATAATACCATCCATATATGCATAAAACATATAAGACAAATCTACATATCTTTAAGAGATATACTCATGGGATTATGACAAACATCAGAGTGGTGCCTATTTGGACAAGAGAAGGCATGAAGAGGACTGGAGCCTGAGGATGAAGTGGAAAAGGCAAACAAGAAAGGGGGCATGTATGGTCCAATAATGATGATTCCTGAACCTGGGAGTCTGAAGAACTCAACTCTGCACTCAAGGGAGGGGAGAAAGAAAGGGGATGTGATCACAATCCTGGCTTGTACCCTGGTGTCACCTGAGGAACACTGAGAAATCTGAATGCCTGGGAGCCACCCTTTGAGGTTCTGACTTTTTTTTAGAGAGAGGGTCACCCTCTGTCCTCCAGGCTGGAGTGCAGTGGCCCTATCACAGCTTACTCTAACCACAAAAATCTGGGCTCAAGTGATTCTCCTGATGCAGCCTCCCGAGCAGCTGGGACTACAGGCACGCACCACCATGCCTAGTTACTTTTTGTAATTTTTGTAAAGACAGGGTTCTGCTTTGTTGTCTAGGGGGGTCTTGAATTCCTGCCCTCCTGTCTCAGCCTCCCAGAGTGCTGGAATTACTGGTGTGAGTCACAGCACCCAGTCCCTGAGATTCTGATTTAATTGGTCTGGGGACAGCCTGAGAAGCAGGAGTTTCAAATCTCCCCAGGTGAGCACAATTTACAGCCAAGGCTGAGAATCACTAAATTGAATACAGACACACTGGCTCCCAGTCCTAGCTCTGCCACTGGTAATCTTGGTAGTTCTAGGCTAGTCACTTTCTTTCTCTGAAACCTGATTCTTTGTCTAAAAAGGGCATCCCAGAGTCTGGCCCCACAGAAGCAGTGTTCTATGGGGCAGCTGAACTGCCATGCAGGAGGAAGCACATTGGATGCACAATTGCACCAGGCAAAAAAATATGTGAGGCCTATGAATCTCTTTTTATTTCTGAGACGTAACTTTGGCTCAAGTTCTAGGGCAAACAGCAAAGTGCTCTCCCGTCCCATAAGATGGGAAGTATGCTTCCCAGACCAGGATTACCAGATATAATAAAGGATGACCACTTACATTTTAATTTCAGATAAACAATTTTTTTCCCACATAAGTATGTCCCAAATATTGCATGGGACATACTTGTACTAAAACATTTTTGCACTCTGGGAGGCCGGGACGGGTGGATTGCTTGAGCTCATGAGTTTGAGACTAGCCTGAACAAGAGTGAGACCCTGTCTTTAAAAAAACAGCCAGTGTTGTGGTGGGCACCTGTAGTCCCAGCTACTTGGGAGGCTGAGGCAAGAGGATCGCTTAAGCCTAGGAGTATGAGGTTGCTGTGAGCTGTGACACCACAGTGGTCTACCCAGGGTGACAAAGTGAGACTCTGTCTAAAAAAAAAAATAAAAGAAATAAAACATTTTCATTTTTTATCTGAAATTCAAGTTTAACTAAGTGTCCTGTATTTCATTTGCTAAATTCGACAACCCTACCTCGATACTTCTGTTTGGAGGAATGGAGGAGTCCCAGGGATTTTCAATTCTGGAATTTCACAGCTGAATAGCTCTAAAAGAACCATGTCACCTCCTTGTTCCTTGCAATTAGCGCTGAGGATAACACAGACACTGGATGCCTTTTATGTATCTATTTGGTATCTCAGACACACCCTCAAGCAGTCAAGTTCTCCCAGGAATTAGGAGATTTCTCTTAGGAATTCATATTGCCTCATCCTATGCTGACAATCGTAGGGTACTTGTCTGTACTTAATACCATATAAAGTCATGACTGCAAAGTTTTTTATTTTTATTATAATTGTTCTTTCCTGACATATAAATCATTGTTAACTTGGGAGGGGAAGAAAGGAAATAAGCATCACCCATAATTCCTTTACCCAGGTTTAACCAGTGTCACCCTGCTTTTCCCCTGCAAAGGAAACAAATGAGTTTTGTTTTGTTTTTGAGACAGAGTCTTACTTTGTTGCCCTCAGTAGAGTGCAGTGGCATCATGGCTCACAGCAACCTCAAACTCTTGGGTTCAAATGATCCTCTTGCCTCAGCCTCCCAAGTAGCTTGGGACTACAGGCACCCATCACAACACCCGGCCTATTTTTTAGAGGCGGGGGTCTCACTCGTGCTCAGGCTGGTCTTGAGCTCCTGAGCTCAGGCAATCCACCTGCCTTGGCCTCTCCAAGTGCTAAGATTACAGGTGTGAGCCACCATGCCTGGTGGAAACACATGTTTATTGAGCTTCAATCATGTGTCAGAAATTTCCCCTCCATTATCTCACATAACCTTTGGAAAGGAAAATAACTTTATTGCTCTTTTTAACTATAAAAGCAACACAAACCCTTTATACATAGACAAATTTTAAATGGCAATTCACGGATATAAAGAAGGAAGTGAAAGTCATTCATGATCTCATTACCCAAAGATGGAATTCCTTCTAGTTCCCTTTCCCCCTTTTATGTTTCTGTGAACATTTTCCTATAGCACGTGTGCCAGGTACTCTCTGCTAATTATTGCATCTCAGGGATGACTTGCACACAAGGAAACTGAGGCTTACGTCTGCTTTGCTGTCCTGCCATTCTAGAGGACTCTGCCTCTCCCCACCAGAACGCTGTAGGGGTTCAACAAGGGTTTGCTGAATAAGTAAATGTGGGGGGAGGCGTATCCAGTCTCATTATGTCATCAAAGGCTGCTTCCAATTTGTATTTTTTAAAAATCCTAATCTACTTGGCCTGATTATGGAGTGGCTGTGATTTCTTGGCTATTAGCCAGAGACACCGGCTGTGGATGAGCAGGTGAATGAGGGGGGATTGGTTCCCTGCTCCATAGGAATTAAGAGCTCCAAAGAGTGACAGGAGATTTAGGAGGTTTTAGAAACCTGCATTTCTTGGGGGTAAACTTCCAAAACTTTTCATGAAAACCAGCATGAAAGGTTTGTGTTTTAACATCTTAAAATGCCCAAGTAAAGCCCAGGCTGGAGGATAGGCAGCTATTCACAAGCTGTTATTTCTTGAGTGCCCTCTCTGTGTCGGGCATTGTGCTGCATCCTTTTCATACATCATCTCATGTAACCCTGCTAACAATCTCATAAGATGGGTGCTATCCTGAACCCATTTTGCAGATGAAAAAACTGAAGCACAGTCACCTGGCCAAGGCCACATAGTGGGCAAGTGGCGAGCCTGGTCTACAACTGAGGTCCATGAGCTCCAATTCCCTGCTCTTGACCTCACAGAAGTTTTGGTGCCTTCTGCTTGTGGGGGTGGATGCATAGCTGGAATGCATGAATCTTCTCTCCTTCCCCAATGGTGGGGTGGTGATTGGGGGAATGCAGGAGAGAAGGAGCCCAGACCAGGGCTTTCCATCAAAATGTAGGACTAAAAAACCAGCCCAAACATTCAGATATACAAACTGCAGTAATGCATGTCATGGAATACTACTCAGCAATAATCAGGAACAAACCATGGATACACACAGCAATATGGATGGAATATAGAAAATATGATGCTGAAAGAAGCCAGACACAAATGCATATATACTCTATTATACCATTTATATACCTCTAGGGACGTGGGAAGCTGACTCAGAAGAGACAGGCAGAGATTATCTGGGGTTATAGACAGGTGCATAAATCTTTAGATCTGTGCATTTCATCATGGAAAAATTACATTTAAAGCTGTGTCAACACCCTGAGAAATCTGATCTCCCTTTATTTCCCCATAAATTGACCTTGGGTTGGTTTAGGTGCTATGTGTAGGTTGAAGGGCAGAGGTGTCAAACAGAGAGCAGATTAGTGGTTGCTAGGGGCTGGGAGGAGGGGAGAATAGAGAGTGGTGGCTAAATGGGTAGAGGGTCTCCCTTTGGGGTGACGAAATGTGTTAGAACTAGACCAAGGTGAAGGCTGTCAACTGTATAAGACCCAGTTTATCTATTTTAAAATGGTTACTTTTCTGTTATGTGAATTTTACCTCATTTTTTAAAAGTATAAAGAAAGGCCTCACCCTTACGGGGAGCAAACTTGTATTCTCCTGAGTGCCGGCCAGGAGGATTTCAGTATTAGTGGCTGCCTCCTCTGTGAGGGCTGGCTCACACTTATCTGCCTCGCTGAACCCTGAGGCCTGGGCTGTTTTTTGAGATAGGATCTTGCTCTGCTGTCCAGGCTGGAGTGCAGTGGTGCAATCATAGCTCCTACAGCCTCAAACTCCTGGCCTCAGGCCATGATCCTCCCACTGGGAGATGTTGGGATTACAGGCACCAGCCACACACCTCACTGGAGTTGGGTCCATCTGACTGCTCAGGGCCTGCACAGTGCAGGTCCTCATGATGCTTGTGATGAGGCCTGAATACTGAGTGAGTAAATGAACAAATGGAATAAAGGACTGAACAAGTGAATAAATGCTGGTGCTAGTGAGTTCAACAAGAGTTAATGAATGACAGCAAATAAACAAGGAAGTGAAGAGAAATGAACCTGGGCCAGAGCATGGGTTCAACCCCTGTGGATTCCAAATTCTGGCTTTGTAACTCAAACAATTTAACCTCTCCATGCCTCAGTTTTCTCATCTGTAAACTGGGGTGGCTGGTCGTTGTGAAAAATAAATGAGTTAAGATGTGGAAAGCGCTTAGCACAAAGCAGGCCTGCTGGTTGTGAATACTAAGGAAAACACCACGTGTACGGGGCACCTCTGCCTGGTGCCTAGCAGGGCCGCCACCTACCGAGGAGCTGCACCTCGTCTGTGATGCCGTAGACGTCGATGAGCGCCCAGAGCGGGCCGCCCACAGCCACGCCACAGTGGAAGAGCACCGGCTCTCCGTCATTGACGGTGTAGAAGACGCGGCCGTGGCGATCTGCCCAGTAGGCCAACACAGTGTCGCGCAGCGCTAGGTTCTCAGGCAGCGCCTTGGCCCAGTAGCCAGGCCGCGTGACCAGATCCGGGCAGGCGTACTTGGGGATGTCCTGAGCACTCATGAGCGACGGATCGTGAGCTGTGAAGCCAAAGCGTAGAGCGCCACTCCAGCCAGGGCGCACCGCCACTAGGCGTAGCCGCACCTGCTCGTACAGCCGGATAGGCCGCTGCGTGAAGGTGACGCCATTGCAGAAGCTGTTGCGCCGCGTGGCCCGGCGGGAGTGGCCGTCCAGGCGCACGTTCTTGCCCTTGGCCTGCGTGTGGAAGCGCGGCGCCTCGCCAAGAACCTGGCGCCGCTCTGGACCAGGACCGCAGCATGGCCGGGTGGCCAGGAGGCGCGCGGGAGGGCTGGAGTCTGTAGGAAGAGACAGGCAAGACAGTCAGGTACCTGGGAACTCCCTGAGGGCCCCATTGATCTTTAATAGTTATTTTCATTTTAAATTCTCTCTTAATTAGACTGGCAAATGATAAACTTGAGAAGGTTCCAAGCTAGACCAAAGGGAAACCAGCACTAATCTCTTTGTCACAGCAAAGTCACTATACCCATTTCACAGATGAACAAACCAAGGCAGGGTGTATATCAGGTGGGTGGGTAAAACACTAGAAGTGTTTCAGTGTTAGGCCAACACCAGTGAACTTGTCTCGACAGCCAGCAGGGGTCAAATGACTTCTCCATCAAATACTGCCAAATCTAGAAGGACCTCCCGAGGCCACCTCTGGGCTGTAGGGTTCCTGTTGCCTTTGGAGGTGGGGGGATACTGTTGCCTTTGGAGGTGGGGGTCTTTGGAGATTTTTTTCTTTGTAAGTTTCGTTCAAAAGCAAGGCAGGTAAGACAACAGAAACAGCATTCTTTTGGGTTCCCCAAGGCCGTCTGAATCCCTAACTTAATTTCTCTAACTTAGTTTCTTGCCTGTAACATGGGGATGTTACTTAACTCACACAGCTGCTAAATGATTGCGTGGATGAAGTCCCTATAATAATAATACCTGGCATAAAGTCTGTGTGGAACAGGCCACTCATGATATTACTGAGGTTCCAAAGCAAATCTAAGCCAGGATTCTGTGACCCACAGAAAATGAAAGCATTCTCTACTCCTTATGAGAAAGGTTGGGTTTTCTAAAATTTATACTTTTGAGGGTTCGTTTCTAAGAAAATGCTGCTCTGAAGAACCTGGGGAATCCTTGGGTGGTCTTTCAAAGGATCTGGCTACTGGTCATAAACCTAGCTAGTCCAGAGTGGGAGTGTTTATCTCAGCCCTGCTTTTCTTTCTCTCACCCCCAGGGGTGGTTCTTGGGAGGCTCTGGCATCCTGGGAGAGAGTAGGGTGGGTGATTACTGCAGGAGTCTCTGCTATTAATTCACAACAGTAGCTGAGTACAATTTTCATGGCAAATTCTTACAAATTGCAGGCAGCCTGAGCCCCACAATGAGAAAAATGGTGACCCCAGGGAAGAGGGACCGCTCCTCCCACACTCAGAAACAGGATGCCCTGTGCTCTGGGCACATCAGTGGGTGGAGGTGGGGAGTTCAATGAACACTAAGGCTGGTGGGAGCGAGAGCAGGAAAAATGAAGAGGGAGAGGCAATGAGGAGGCAGACAAGCCATGGCTTCCCTCTCCAGCCCAAGGAGAAGGAAGCCCCACTCTCCAAGGCAGGCAGGGAGGCCCCCCTCCCAACAAAAGCCACTGACCCACAGAAGGTGAAATACAGAAAAAGCCAAATTCCCACATTAGAAAAAGGCACTTCGGTGATTCACTCATTTAACAAATATTGAGCAGCATGCTAGGCACTGGGAATACAGCAACCATCAAGATTCTTCCCACTCTGAGGGAGCTGACATTCCAGAGCGCCAAGTCAGATAACACACAAGACAGACTCCACCTGGTAGGATGCATTACCAAGACTAATGCAGAGAGAGCTGCTATCTTAGGGTTTCTGGGAAGGCCTCTCTGAAAAACTTTTGAGCAGAGACCTAAAGGATGTGAGGGAGTGAGCCATGGGGGCACTTGGGGGAAAATCATTCCAGGCAGGGGGTACAGCAAGTGCAAAGGCCCTGAGGTGCAAATGTGCTGGTGTGGTCAAGAAATGACAAGGAAGCCAGTGTAGCCAGAATGGTGTCAGCATGTGGGGTGTGGAAGGAAAGAAGTTTGTGTGTGTGTGGGGGGTCCCTATAGTAGTTGTTTTTTCTTTAACCATTTTACTATGAATGCACTGAGCTCTTATTGAAAGTTTACAGCAGAAAAGTGGTAGGACCGCTCAGGCCATTGTATATGGAGCGGAATGTTGAGGAAGCTGGACTGGATTATTCCAGGTTAGAGACAATGGTGGATCAGATGTGAGTACCAGTAAAAGGTGGTGAGAAGGGGTCAGATTCTGGATATGAGTTGAAGGTAGTAGAGATTTGGAGGCTTTAATTCATTTTTATAGAAAGTAGATAAAATTTTAAAGACACATTGGCTCTATAACAGGTACAGGAAAGGGAAGCAAATCAGTGATAAGGAAGGGCAGGGAGATAACACAAGTAGGTCCTGGAGGGCAGGGACCATCTCTGTCTTTGGTTCTCCTGTGCCCAGCAAAGTCCTGACACACACTAGGCACTTGAGAAATGCCAGCTGCTGCCTGGGTTATAGTCAGAGCTAGAATAGGCCTCAGAGATCATATCCTCCTATATGCCAATTTTACAGATGGGGAAATGGGAGGACAGAAGGAGAGGGGCCTTCCCAAGCTCAAGGTCTGTCAAAGTCAGGGTGGGAACCCTTTTCTTAGGCTCTCTGGCCAAGCCATCTCTGATGCAGGGAGGTCTTTGGCCCAAGAAGGGTAAGGCTCTGGGGAGGCCAGTCAAGCATCACTCCTCTGAGCTTTGGGCCACCACAGAGGACCCCCATCACTGTCATATGGGCACCAGCTGCTTCTGCCTGGTCAGCAACCATTCCTCTTTTTCTGGTTATTATGTCCCAATTTTCCTTGGGAGATGGCACTTTCCCCCACTGTAGAAATTGGAGTGTGACCCAAGCCTGGCCAATCAGACGATGGCAGACTTCTCAGATAGAAAGGCCTATTTATTTATTTATTTATTTATTTTTGAGACAGGGTCTTGCTCTGTAGTCCTAGCTAGAGTGCAGTGGCATCATCATAACTCACTACAATCTCAAACTACTGGGTTTAGGTGGTCCTCCTGTCTCAACCTCCTGAGTGGCTGGAACTACAGGTACATGCCACCACTCCTGGCTAATTTTTTCTGTTTTTATAGAGACAGGGTCTTATTCTTGCTCAGGCTGGTCTCAAATTCCTGACCTCAAGCAAGCTTTTCGCCTTAGCTTCCCAAAGTGCTAAGATTACAGACATCAGCCAGGGTACCCAGCCCCTCTTTTGCTTTTAACAGGTTGAGCTGGGTTTCTGATACTTGCAACAAAAAATTTCCTGATTGATAGACTCATCAGGCATTTAGACACTTACTCTGGGCTGGGTGTTTGCCATGCATTTCCTCACTTAATTCTCATCTTATTCTTATGAGGCAGAGACTACTGTTATCCATCCCATCATGGATGGAGAAATGGAGTTTCAGGGAGGTCAAGTTGCTTATCCAAAGTCACATAGCTGGTTTACCTAAGGACAGTGCTGGGATTGAGACCATCTGTCTTTTTAAGCACTTTGTCATAGTCTCTACACCTCTTAGGAATTAACACAGGATGGATAGAAAGCCTGGGCCATAGACCCTTGAGGTAGGAGAGGGAGGCAAGTGGCTACTCCTTGACTCCCTAAACCTCTCGGCAGGCCTTCCAGGCAAAATGTTCGCCGCACTGGTCACTCAGTCACCTGTCCTTTCTGCAGATCACATCATCCCATCCTGCCCTCATGGAGATCTGAGCCTGTCTAGGATAGACACACAGCTGAATACACAGTGACAATAGGCATGATAAATACCACCTCAGGCAACAGCACTGGGGGCCTCCAGGAAGCCCCAGACTCAGTCAGGGGCTGGACAGTGGTGATGCCCACTGAGCCAGGTCTGGAGGGAAGAGCGGGTGGAGAGAGGAATGCCCGGGGCAGAGGCAAGGGGAAGCTGGAATCTGTGGGGAGGGTAAAGTAATACAGTAAGTGTGGTAGGGAGTATGTGAAGTTGGGCAGCCACTGTCTTGCAGGGGTGAGGAGTGAGGCTGCTGCAAAGTCAGAGGAACCAGATGGGAAGGCACTGAATGCCAACCCAAGAGGCTCAGAGGGCACAGTGTAGGCAGGAGGGAGCTACATTAGGGCTTCAGCAAAGCACACCCTGGGCAGGCCGGTTAGGGAGGGGGGCTCCAAGACAGCAAGGAAGGTGGACAGAGACCAGAGGCCATCTCTGGAACCACAAGGATAAAGGAAGGGCTGGCTGGAGAGCTAGTTCAAAGGACAAATCCCAAATTGGTGGTGGTGGGAGATGCGGGGGGAACTCCACCAAGGTATAAACCATCAGCAGAGGCAGCTGGGGACAGCAGAAGCCTGTGTTCTCCATGCACACTGTGGCCTTGTACAAAGCACTTGACTTCTGGCTACAGCTTCCGCCAGTGTGCAATAGGCCAAGGTCCCTCCAGCTGGCAAATTCTCCAGGAAACATTAAATGTGACCACAGATCAAAAGCCCTCCTGAGCTCCAGCATCTATAGGCCAGCCTTATTTGATTATTCCTATCTCCCCTCCCCGTCAATGCGGTGTTTTCCAACCGTATCTCTCCATCAGAGAGTTTCTTTACAAAATGGCTTGGGAATCCTGAGCAGATGTTCCTTGAGAGGGGTCTGGCGATTTAAATGAATGTTGAAATGGGGAGAAATACTGCCTTGTTACTATAAGGGGAAAACCAACTATATGTTAGGATAAAATGCAGCCAAGTAACCAGCTAAGTTTACATATTTGTTTAATCTTGATTATATGATTTGACTTCCTTCGGGGAATGAGGGATAAACACTCATTTTTCCCTTCCTTAGGGGCCAGAGCCCTGATGTGAGGTAAAGAAAACCAGAGTGAAAAAGTACCTAAGAGGATGTGTTATTTACACAAATCGAAGATGCTTAAAATAAAAGAACAATAAACAATCTCCAAATTGCACACCAACATCTGCTTTTAGCTTGGTTCAGGGAAAGTGGTTCCTACAAGGAACAGAAAATTGTGGAGGTGGGCTCAAAGGGCCTTGCAGGAATTCCTAGTTGGGAGATGTTCGAGGAAACCCTGAACTTAATCATTTGAATTGCTGCAATATAAACAGTGGCCACATTATAGAAAGTTTGGGAAAGAGGAGAAAAATCCATCCCCCATTTTATCTCCCCACTTTCACACCCTGACTCGACCTACATTTTCCATAGTTCCAGTCCTGATCTCACATAA